AGAGAGAGAGAGAGAGAGAGAGAGAGAGAGAGAGAGGCTTAAAAGGATACCTAGTATATAGTAGTATTTTTGTTGCTTTTTATTAAAAGAAAAATACTGTTTCCTAAAACACTTCCAGGTTCTTCTGCAGATATTCTTTCAATGGAAAATGCAAAGTTCAGAAACTATAACTTTCAACCACAAAGTAGGTTAAACAGACTATGTCTCTTTTAGGATGGGATGTGTTTACTTGAATTTTAAATGGGTATTATTAACCCAATCCACCAGTATGTAAACCATAGAGGCTCTTTTGATGATCAGAGAAAACCAAAACCCGGAGACTGGCTGATCTCTTTGCAGGTGGGCCAGACATTAACACAGAGCAGCTACAGGAATTTTGATCATACACATTTTATGAAACCTGGCTTCTTGGAAAACGTTGTAGAAAACCAATCTGGGAATCATTTAGAAAAACAGGCAATTGCAGGAAGGGCCACAGGGAGGAGTGAAGGTCACTGAAGGATGGGGAACATGAAGGCACTTAACAGAAGTGCCCGTTTCCAACCCAATAATGCCTCAACCATTTCTTTTGAAATTGGGGGCAGAGAGTCAGCTACTTTCTTAAAACAGCTCTGAAATGCAACAGTGGGGGGAAACTGATATTCCAGAAAACGGATTGTAAGTTACTTGCGCAGTTACCCTCACCCAGTGAGACCAAGTTGCTGTAGTTCTCCAACATCACATCCCTGTACAAGGCCCTCTGAGCAGGGTCCAGGTATTCCCACTCCTCCTGGGAGAGGTCTATGGCCACATCCCTGAATGTCAGGGACATCTGAAATGACAGACCCATGTATTATAAACATTATTTTAAATGTATTTTTAAGATGGAAAACTGCTTTTCAGGAAAGAGGCAACATAGCAATCGAGTAAACTGGGTTCAAGCCTGTGGCAAATGGGGAAAAGTAAGGAAATTACTATTTCTAAAGTAGAGTACCTATATGTTTTAAAAGAATACTGTTGGCTGAATGACAACTATAATTGGAAAAAAAAAGGACTATATGTAGAACAAACCTGGTAATTATTGTTATCAATAAATCATATTTTTCAAAAAAGAATATTGTTGATACAAACAAATGTCTTGTATATAGTGGGATACCATAATTATCCAAGAGTCTAGGAATGAATAAAATAATCTGTTTCCCAACGAAATGAAATCATATACATAAGTACACTGCCTATCATGTGCCTGTATGGTAAATTCTGAATAAATGAGTCTTATTCTCTTTTTCCTTAAAGGAATGAAAAAAAAATAGTGTTTTCCCCAAAAAGTACGCTAAAATCTCTGTCTTAGAAAACAGGACTTGACTGACATTTGAAATTCAGGCTCATCACTATGTCAGATAATGTCACAAGCATTTTTCCTTGTAACAAGTGACCACGTCTTCAGTTAAATTCTTTATTGGCTGGCTAATTACTGCTCTCGTGGATACATCAGACTAATCCTTCTTTATTTAGGTTGGACGAAATATCTAAGGTCTTCCCCAATTCTGAGAGGCTACTTTCATCCCCCATTAGGGATGTGGACGGTCTTCGGACTGGCTACGACCACCATCCCCCAGGAGCACCTGCCTTCATCCTGAAGTAGAAGATGCTGATGCAGGATGACCCACAGTGACACTGATGCCACTGGTGACCAGCACAACTCCTCTACCACAAAATTGACCTTTGTCCTGTTGTTCATCCCTCTGAGACCCCTGGCAAGATCTCTGAGATACCCATATGCAAACCTCAACCACACTCCAAGCCAGTCCTTGTAAGCCTCTCAAGGAATAAGATCTCGCCACATGCAGAACACTCAACACTAAATTCCATCTTATCAACCTGCAAAACTCAGGCCTATGGAGTCTAATGGGACTATCATCTCTGTGTCATGGAATCATAACTCTTAACGAAGGAAGTTCAAATATTTCCCTCAAGTGACTTCATCTTTCATGCCCCATCAGTGCTCCTGAGAGAGCCTGGGCACTTAGAGAGGTGATGAATAGGTGAACATAGGCAACGCAGATGAGAGGCAAATGCGGAGGACACTAGGCTGTGTGATACCACGCTTCACTGTGATTAGAGTAACTGGGGAGCAGGTTCAGCAATACGATTGTCTTAGGAAGGAAATCTTAGGATAATAAAAATGATCTCATGAATTCAAAACCACAATACATCAAGGAGGAGAAATGTGAACTTACATGGGCCATGGTTTTAGAACTGCAAGAATTTGTCAGTCCTCTTTGGGCTTCTTCCAGTTGGGGTAGCCGAGTCCAGAGAAGCCTGGGCTGGGGAAGGAACAAGAGGCTCTGAGACCAGGTATGGCTCACAAATCCCCAAATGACTTAAGTTAAAATGGTCCTGTTTTGCCTTCTTTCTGATCCCATTTCGAATGCCCCACATACAAATTGGGAGACACAAGAGGGAGTTTGGAGAAAGCCAAACCCTCCCTATACCATGAGGAAGCACCTGCTCAAGTGTAGATACAGAGCAGAGGCCTCCTGCATGAAGTCAGACCACACACTCCAGTAGGAGGGTCCCTGGCCCACCCCAATTTCTGATGATGTTGATCTGTAGCCGAGACCAAACTGTCAGGTCCTGCCCTGAGCAGATCCATTTCCGTCCATGGCTACCTTCTAGAGCTGAGAAGAGGGCTGCCCCATCCAAACCTGAATATCTTTCAGCTCAGGTATGTAGCTGAACTCTGCAGACACTCAGGCAGAAAACAGGCAGCCTTTCCCACTGCAAAATGCACTTCCCAGAGTCCTTCTCCAGCCACAACTATAGCTCCCAGAATCCTCTGGGCTCTGTTTCCAACCAACCTGTTTCCTAATGAGGATCATCTATACTGCTTTCCTTTAGGAAGTCACTGACTACGCTAATCTCTCAATATCAAGGCTGCTGAGGTCTGAAATCATACCGATGGTCTCAAGGTGACAACAGAAATCGATACTTTTAGTATCTTCTGTGATGGGTCCTTTATCATACTAACATTTCATAATGGATATATCCATGTCAAAACTGCTGCTCTGCATGACATATTTTGATATTCTTTTTGCTTAAGTATAATCTATAACTTGTGGGTACGAGACTTATCAGGCAGATCATTTTGTAAGTTATATAAATGTCTAACCACTGTGTTGTACACCTGAAACTAATATAATATTGAATGTCAACTATAACTGAAAAAATTTTTTTAAATTTAAAAAGTATAATCCATAACTTTTAAATGCAATTTAAAATATACATACTGACATGTATTTATTTCATTTTGATAAGAGAAAGCTCTTCCTTTTTTTTTTATTTATTTATTTATTTTATTTTTTAGCTGAGCCATCTTGCCACCTGTTGGCAGCTCAGCTCGGGCTGGGAATCGAACTGCTGTTGCTCAGAGCTCAAACTCTTGAGCGAGCTCTTAACCAACTGAGCCACTCGGCCGGCCCTCAGCTCTTCCTTTTTTAAACAATTCCCTTGAACTTGGAGAAAAAGTTCAAGATAATCTGAAAACACCTATTATATTTTTATTGAATGCCCTTTTTTCCTTTAGCTGCTCACACCTGAACCAACGCTCTGATTTTTAATATATGTGTATGTATATGAATGTACTGTAATGTCTTGTATGTATAGAGGCTGGCCTCAATGAGGTTTTCTTTCGAGTACTCCTGACAAATGTATTCCTGAGTTTATTTTGCTCTGAAACTATCCTTTTAGCCACAACATCCTCCAAATTGCTGCTGAAAAATCTTCTCTGATTAGTCTCACTTTAAATCTAACATTATTAGAATAAAGACTGTAAGATAAGAAGTTGTGCTATCCAATATGATAGCCAACAGTCATATATGGCTATTTAAATCAAATTTTAAATTAAGTAAAATCAAATAAAATTAAAAATTCAGTCTCTCAGTTGCAGTAGTCACATTTCAGGTGCACTGTGTGGCTAGTAGCTACCATATTGGAGATTGTAGATATAGAATATAGCCATCATCACAGAAAGCTCTACTGGAGAGCGTTAGAGAGCATACAGTATAAAATCCATTTATTGCCACAGAGTTCCCCTGAGTTCAGAATAATTTGGTCAAAACTTGACAGAGGTAGCTAGAGAAATAATATCTCATTCCTATGAACTCCTAAGGCATGTGAATTTCTCTAGTGGCATTTATTACCTTCTATCTCACACTTATTCAGTCTATTCTGATTTTATGTTATTTGCTGAATCTTACAGGAAACTTAAGGGTAGCAACTATGTTTTCAGTGCTTGTATTCTTGTAATTACCATTGTAAGATCCAACATACTATGAGCCCTTATGTCTGATACTTGATTAAAATTCCATTTTTAGGCAGTTTTTCTTAGGAAATGGCTATAAAAGCACATTAAGATATATGCATAAGTTATTTATCATATAACAACTTAGACTAACCATATGTTATAAATAGCTGCAGGAGGCAACAGGTTAAATAAATTATGGTCCGTTATAATGGCACACCAAGACCCTATTAATACTGATTATATTGGTCCATATTTATTGTTGAAGAAAGACATTCACGATGAATTACTGATTGATACAGGCATATTAAAGAAGTATGTAAAACTACGGGAGGGATTATCATATCATTAATAACACAGACTTGTCAGACTATCAGAATGTGAATTTTAGTCCAACACCTACTAACTTTTCATTTAGTTTGTTCATAAACTAGGGATAAGAATAGCACCTATCTCATACAGTTGTCATGAAGATTGAGATATTATGTATATACCATGTAATGACATGATTACTTAATAAAAGATAGTATTATTAAAACAAAGGATATTACGTGTCCTTTGTTCTATTGTTATTAAATAAAACTATTTCTGCTATTTCTTTTTTATAGTGAAAATTGAGTCTCATGTCCATTCTTTTTTTATAATGACATTTTAAATATTTTAGAGCTAAGTCTTGGTTAGTTAAAATTATTTTTAACTAACATTAGCAAAAGAGATTCTCAGAAAGCTACCCAAGAAATCTCCTCTTTTCCCTGAAGCTAACAAAGAGGAGACACCATTCTTTAACATAAAACTAACAAAAAGAACCTAAAAAGGCATTAAATGGAGAACTTTAATAAGAGATTCAATCTTATTCTCCCGTCCTATGGAAAGATTTACATAAATATTTATTGTTATTACCATTTTATTCTGCTTTCTACTTTTATAAATCTGTCCTACAAAATATTATTTGCATAATGGAGCTTTAAAAGATACATGGACAGGGGAGGGTACTACTGTGTCCTGTGAAAGCAACCTTACAAATCTAAAAAAATATGTAATCTTGAAGAGCTATCTTATTTGATAAATTGTGCCATAATAATTACTCTTAATTGACTTATAAAACCCTAAAAGGTGTAAATACCTGGAAGGTTTATCAAACTAGAGGGGTTGACTGGCATTTTCTTCCTCTTCCTATATTCATGGAGGTATAAGAAACCTATGATTAGGTATAATTACTTTTTCTAAATAGGAGTTGGACAGTTTCTGTGTCCTCTGAATGTTTAATTAGTACAATTTCTATTCTGCAGAAACACACACACACACACACACAAACACACACACACACGTGCACACAAAAAATTTTGCTAAAACATACCTCCCCAAAATATTAATCCTGATGCTAGGGCTATTTTAACTTTCTTCTTTATAAGTCCTTCATATAATATAACTGAATAACTGATTTTTTTTGCAAAAAAATGAGCATTAATTCCATAATTGTAAGTGTATAATAAATCTATATCCGATTTTAAAATATTCTAAAAGCTTGAAAACAAATTGGTTTGACATCTCCATGGGAACAGTAAAAAAATCAGTGTGACTATTATAAATAAAACCTACAAATTCTTCAACATTATTCTCCAATACAAAGAGACCTTTTTTCTGACAAGATTCTTCTCTGAATGAACATAAGTCAGATGAGGGGCATCTGCAGACTAAATAATAAAATTTGGGCAAGACAGAAGAGTGTTTGGTTCTCTTTTTACTTCTCCACTGAATAATCAATTGAAATATCACTTTGGGTATATAACCTTCATAAAATGTGTTTGAATCCAAATATTTGTAAATGAGACTCATATAAACTTTAAAATTTGAGTATTATTATCACTATGACTATTGCTTTACTCATGTGTACTTTTTTTCTTATGACAAACTGTATTAACATAAATCTCAACCCATTGATTTCTTGGAAAAATCCCTGCCCATGATGACACAGATTTCACAGATGACACAGATTGGAAGCTCAGACTTCCAATCAAACTCCTGTTCCCAAAAGCCTTAAAAAGCAGATGACCATGTTACTTACCTACTGACATCAGTCTAACCACCTCTGATCTTGCCTTACTTTTAAACCAAGGTTTTGGAGAAGATCAATGATGTGATTCCACCTAAACACTAATCTCAATAAAACAAAACTTTAACGTTAGACTCCAGGATATGCATTTCTTACTATTATAAAAAGCGAGTGTGAACAAATGATTTGAAAAATGAGGAGGGAGCATTTGAGGGCCAATGAGGAGAGGGTTCCATCTGCATAGTCCATCATTCATTGGAAAGAAAGGCCTAAGATAGGCAAATGAACATTTCAGGAAACTAAAAGCAAATGTACCCAATTTCTAAAAACAAAAAAGCAGGTATGGACAAAGAGGAAATACAAACTCACCTGATCTGGACTTTCAGATGTGCAACAACAATTTTTCCCTCTTCCTCAGGAGCCTTGTTTTGGAGAATGGTAGGACTGGGTAAGAAGGAACTTGTGAAACACAAGGCCTTTCTTAGAGTACAGACAGACCGAGAAAATCCGCTCCAGCGCCACATTTGCTCTGATCTTACATACATAACCAGGTGGGAGAGGGAGGAGAGAATCTGTCTTTGAATTCAGAGGTATGGGAATGCTATGGTTCTGAAAAACGTAGCAGCACCCACAGCGCCTCCAAGTAGGGACACTCCCATCATTTCGTCCCACAAGTTTGCCTCAGGGACACTTCTAGATCTGAAAGTCCCATCCCAAGCCCAGGACTATGCCTTCTTGCTGGGAATCCTCATTCTAGGGCTCAATGCAATATTTGAAATGTCTTGGGGACATTGTCATGGGGACACTACTCTGTGAGGACACTCGGGATTGTGAGGGGAGGGCGGGGAAAGCACCAGGGTCAGTCTCACAACCGCACCCACCCTCACGAAGGCCCAACCTGGACCTGACAAGCGGACAGGCGGGCGCGCGCGCGTACACGCACACACACACTCACATAGTCAATGACACAATCCCCCTCTCGTCTGCTCTTCACGCAAGCACAGGCCTGACGCTCCCGGCATGAAGCGCCCCGCCCGCGCCCCAGGGTTTCTCACTTTGGGCGGCAACCCCATCCCCACTTCTACTCCCACGAGTCCCGCCCCGTCTCACTTAGCGCCGACTTCTTCCCTGGCTGCAATTAATTCAACCGCGGTGGCTGAACCTCTTAGAACGCACCGTAGAGGGCCCTCAGGGTGGTAGCTAACACCGCCCCTGGGGGTTCTGGGAAATGTAGTCCACAGCTGGAAGCCGGTAGGCTTGGACACTGAATGCGCAGGCGCAGACTCGCGCGAAACCGGCGGCTCCAGCTGGCGTCCCGGTGACTCGCTGGTTAAGTGGAGGGGACCTCACACTTGAGGGCTTTCTGGGCTCTGCAAACCTCGCGGGACTGCCAGAGTGCTCGACCACCGAATGCATCCGTGGTTGCTAGCCTGAGGCCGAGCGCATGCGGGACCAGGCGGGAGCTCCGGGAGGCGGATTTTGTCAGGTTTTTTACCCCCTGAGGTAGTCCCGGCGCCTGGTACACTCGTGAGCTTTATAGGTATATTTTAAAGAATGGGTATGTGGCCCTTTGTATCTGGGTTTCTGAGCGTGTGTGTGTGTGTGTGTCACTGTAAGGGTGGCTGGACCGACTGCGCCTCTCTGGCTGTGGGTGAGTTGTGTTTCTGCGTGTGTGTAACCTGCCTGTGAGACGGTCTATGACTGAAGCGGCATCTGATGTGGGGAGGTCACAGAAAGTAGCTTGGGAGTGAGATTTGTGACTGTAAAATGTGAGGTGACAGGCTTTGTGGGAGATTGTGGCTGTGCTTGACTGTGACTGGGGTAATATGTGTTCGACGGTGTGGGTGTGTGGGGGTCGCTGTGTGACTGGTATTGTTGAGTGGCTGGGTGCAAGCCAGCCTATATGAAGGTGGACATCTGAGATGTGGGACATATGGGTGCCAGTGGAATTGGGACTTGGTGTGTATGATCGTGAGCAACCACAGGCCTTTTCTATGGGATAAAGAGAAGATTTTGCATCTTCTTGCAGCATCAGCTTTATTTAAAGATTTGAACCAAACATTTTCAATTTTTACAGCAAATAATTTTGTATTTTTATTTAGTTGAATGAATTTTTTCATAAAGAAAAATGCAAAATGCAAATCATAGTAATTTTTTAATGTATGAAAGGAATCTTTCCACACTTCGGTGCTGTTAGGGGTCTTTGGCAGATAAATGTGAGAGTCTTGGACTGAGGAAATGGCTTTATGCTTGGAAAGGCAGTGTGCCAAAGAATAGTGAGCCCACAATTAGAGTCAGATGTCCTGGATTCTAGGTCAGACTTCTTTAGTCCTACTTTTGGAAGAGAAAACCTTGTCTCATAAAAGCAAGAAACATGTTTAAGACCATGCACAGTCCATGGGAGAATGACTTGCTTTATTTCAAATCATAACACATTTTGCTCTTTCTCTTCCCTTCCCTTTCTGAACAACCCAGTCCAAAAGCCATAAGATGGTCTCAGAGTCTGAGTAGGATAAGGAGGTGTTCACACAGAGGGTGGCTTGGTGCAGGGTGACAGCCTACTAGGGGGCATTCCAAGTGGTGGAATGGACCAGCATGGAGGTGTCAACCTTTGCAGGGTAACAAGGATAATAGAGCCCAGGTAGCAACATGAAAACGGCATCTGGGTATTAGTACTGCCCCATATTGGGTGTTGGGGCCCAAATGGGGTGTCAGAGATATTCACGTGAAGTCAGATAGGAGGTGGTGAGTGTCAGAACCCAATATCCACTCTCCTAGCTAATATTAGTGGCCATCACTTCTTACCCATTACAGCTTTTGCCTCACTCTGGTCTGCCTTCATTATAGATAAGATTTATCACAATGCCCAGTCATAATAAAATTCCTCTTCCTGACATCCAATCTAAAACAAAGTCCTGCTTCCTGAAACCCTTCCTAAAATCACCTTACACAAGCCCAAATCCTTAAATAAGTCTTTCCTAATACCCTCTTCTGGAGATGCCACACAGTTCCCCATGGTGTACGTTCTCCCTCATTTTAAGGAGTATTAAACCCAACTTGTTCAGCTACAGGTGTTTCGGTGGCGGGGAGGGGTCTCTCGCTGGATGGCATTGAAGGACATAATACATATGCAGCTAATTGTAACATTATTATTGCAGCAGCTTTTGCTTTCACTGGCCTTGGCCCATGCTTATTTTAAAAATGCAGAAAGTCATTTTGAAATGCAGAATACTGCTCGGGAGGCCTTGGACCCCTAGATGAATTGTGTTAAGGTAATTCTTGACTGGTAGTTTGGGATCTTTTCACCTAAATAAAGTGGAGAAAGCGCCTGTCAAGTGTCATGTGGATGGATAGAGAAAGTGTGGTCTCCACCTCTGGGATCTCCGCATCTTCTCAGATTCTCCAGGAGCTTTAAGTTGGATGAGTGGTCAGGGCAAATGTAAAAATGACTTCAGAACACTAGAGAACATTCTATCCTAATCATATCTCAGATTCCTTCGTATTTTTCAGAAACCCAAATTAAATGCCACCTCTCTCAAGCAGAAAAAGTAGATGCCATTATTAAAATATAACTTTGGGATTAACTTAATCAGCCTCCTCTCTGCACTTGTGAGGTCATTGACAATGGACTGAGTCTGATTCATCTCTGAAACATCAGTCATTCCCTCCAGAATGCCAACAGCGACAAAATAAACCAAAGCACCAGATTACAATCCTGCTGTGGGAACAGTTTGTCACACCGACTCAAGGAGAGAATATCTTGCAAGAGGAGAGTTCTTCACATTTGTTGGGAAGGACTTGAGATTTCCCTCTCACTTCTCTAGTGCTTTAAGCTGTTCGCGTTGTGTATTATGTCACATACTTCTCTCACTATATCCATTTAACTGAAGAGGATTCTGAATGATGGAGCTTAAGTCAGATGCTTCACATTACACTACCATCTGATGGGATGGAAACAGGAACCTGCAATCCTAACTCCAAGGATGCTCCGTTTGGGTTGTGGCAGTATCCTTCCTGAGTTATTTTCTTTGCTGTCATTTCTGGGACACATGGCTTTGTTCTCTTTTCCCAATCTCTTTTCCCTTCACTGATCTCTAGGGTGCTTTGTCACTTTATCAATTCCCTTCTTTATCCTACCCCTTCCAGATATGTATTGGCTTGTGAGAGCTTTATTTTTCCTGTAGTTTTGTTATTGTCATTTTTTAATTACCCAATTTAAAAGGTCAAATATTATAGAAAGTATTTAGCAAAAAGTATTCCCATGGCACCCTCACCCCTTATTTATCTGTGCTTCCAAGAGGATAAATAAGAGGAAACTACTTCCCACCCTCTTATGTGTTTCTTTTGAAATTTACTTCCATATTTCTAAATTACAGTAATATCTTGGTTTGTGAGCATAATTCGTTCCAGAAATAAACTACTTATATTGCAAAACATCACTCGTTTACCACCTTAAAATGTGTATATGCTTTTGTAAACTCATCAGTTATAGATATTAGCGACTACTATGGAAGATGAGGACTTTAGATGTCCTTTTTTTTTTTTATTTTTTAGCTGAGCCATCCTGCCACCTGTTGGTAGCTCAGCGGCAGCTCAGCTTGAGCCAGGAATTTAACCGTTGTTGCTCAAGAGCTCAAACTCTTGAGCGAGCTCTTAACCAACTGAGCCACCCAGCCGGCCCAACTTTAGGTGTCTTATCAACCCTTTCCTCTCCAGTCTTTTCTCTCATGCTGCTCTATTTCCTCTGAAGGAATCCTTCAATTGCCTGCCTGGGGCTCTCACTTAATTCTGTCTTCAGCATAGCAACCCCCTGTCCCCGCACCCATGCTCCAGGCCCACCAGCCCAGAGACTGCTGGTCCAGCCTTTCCAGAGTAAGCCTGCAGTCTTCAGCCACGCTGGAGAAGGGTCATGGGCATGGAATAACAGTTATTTACCGCACGCCAGGTTCTAATCACACTGGATGTATGAATTCTTATTTTTATATAAGCTTTCAGGTAGTCCTGGTGTCAGTTCTCACCTTTAGAACCTGGCACCTCTGTTTTCTGAAAAGGGAATCTGTTTCTGAAACCCTCCCTAAACCCTCTTTGGTTCAGGTTCATGTTTCCTCAAGTCCACTACATCAGTGAGCAGGTATCTGCCTCTTTCCACAATTGTGTTGCTGCCATTTCCTCTCTCCTCCTGTGTCCATGTGAGTTTACACCTTAACTCTCTTATCTTCTGACCCATTTTAGTGAGGCTCCAGGAGGGAGGAAAAGTTAACTTCTCTGCTCAACCCGCCATGCCTATCAGTGGAGGAATCACCCCTGTCTCTTCAAGGACCTGTAATGTCCCAAGTATTTTTCCTTATACCTTCTTCCCTTCTCACTCCTAAATACATAGTTGGCATCTATATATTTGTTCAAGAAACATTAACAATGTCTACCACTTAAAATGTAATCAAGCTATAATCCCTGACAACTAACTCTACAGGAGTCTCGTGTTGAGGGGACAGGCAAACACATGAGAAAGTCTAGCCAAGCAGAGCCCGTTCATGGTGCCAGGGGAGCACAGAGGAAGGGTTCCTTCCAAACTGGGGCATCAGGGAAGGCTGACTGGAGGGGGAGTTAGCTAAATGGAGACTTCAAGAATGGGACGTGGGGTCAGCCGAGTGGCGCGATGGTTAAGAACTGGCTTGGGACACCAGAGGGCCCCGGTTCAGATCCCACATATGAGGGCCAGTGACACTGCCCTCCACAGCTAAGATGCTGAACAACAGCTCAACCTGGAGCTGGGCTGCCGTGAGTCGCCGGCGACGGCATAGGCTGCAGCCCGTGGCAGTGGGTTGCCATGGGCTACTGTATATAGCCAGCAGCCGCAGTGAGCGGCCGTCCAGAAGCCGGTGACTGATCTGCCTCACCCGGGAAGAGCGCAATGATGGTGCCAGCTTGGGCCAGTGAAGCAATGT